TATTATATAATTCACATACGACATAATTATAACGAAAATAAACAATATAAATAATTTACTAATGAGCTGTGTGTGTGTGCGGTCGCGCTGTGTGGTGGTGCGGTGGCAATTAAAATTTATGTATATCTGGCGTCGACATCCTCCCCCCCGTTGAAAATCTATTTTTCAACGAGAATTAGATCTGTCTGACTAGGAAGTGCACAGAGTTTTGCAGAGGGTCTTTTGATTTCCGTACCCGCTGCTGTTCTGACTGTCACAACTCTTATTGCACCATCTCTTCCTGGGTGGACCTGCGTTATTCGACCTAAATTCCATTTTGTCGGTGGCAGATTATCTTCCTTAATAATGACTATATCGTTTATCTTCAATGGTTGCCTTTTGTTGACCCACTTGCCACGCACCTGACATTGTGGCAGGTATTCTGTGTACCATCTTCGCCAGAACAGTTGCAGGAGGTATTGCACGTGTTTCCAACGTCTTAATCCACCTGGAGCTTCACTGAGTCTATCGGGCTCTGGAGGTAGGCTCAGAGATCCTCCAACCAAGAAATGGGCGGGTGTCAGAGCTTCAGGTTCATCTGGGTCACTACCTATTGGAGTGATTGGTCTTGAGTTAAGACATGCTTCGACTTGACATATTAGTGTATTTAATTCTGCTAATGTTAGTTTCGTTTCACCCATTACACGTTTTAAATGATACTTTGCACTTTTCACCGCCGCTTCCCATAACCCGCCGAAGTGTGGTCCCGATGGTGGATTGAATCGCCATTCGATTCCTTCTTTCGCCATCGCAGGACCCCCTCGTTTGATAATCGCTGCGAGTTCTCTTTGAGCTCCCACAAAATTGGTTCCATTATCACTGTGTATTACGGCGCACCGGCCGTGTCGAGAAATAAACCGTCTTAGACATGCCATAAAGGCGTCGCTTGTCATGTCTTCAACAATTTCCAAGTGCACTGCTCTTGTTGCGAAACAAATGAACACACATTTCCATGCCTTTTTCCCGGTCAGGCGACGGATTCCACTTCTAACGATGAAAGGGCCTGCAAAATCCACTCCAGTCATGGAAAATGGCCTCGACATACGGACTCTATCCTTCGGAAGTTGCCCCATGAGAGGCGTGCTAAACTTCGGTCTTGCTCGTATACATTTTACGCACTTTCGAACTACTGTCCTCGCGGTCTTACGGCCCGTGAGTGGCCAGTAACGACGTCTGACTTCCGCCAATAGAGCTTGCGGTCCACAATGTAACATTTCTCGGTGTAGGTTTTCAAAGATGAGTAGTGTTACTCGGTGATTTGCGGGGAGAACAATCGGGTGTCTCTGCGAGTTACTTATATCTGAATTTTGTAGCCGCCCTCCTACTAGAATTATACCGTCTTGCATGAAGGGATATAAACTTTTTAACTTACTTGTCCTTGCTACTTCTTTGCGGTTTGTTAATGCAATTGCTTCCTTAGGAAAGCATTCGGCTTGCACTCTTTTAAAAATAATAATCTCTGCTTTCTTCAGGTTCTCAACCGTTAGGTATCTTGTTACTTGGATATTTTTCTTGGCCTTTAAATAATTCACAAACAATGCTAACCAAGCGATAGCGCGTACTAGCCGGTTCCAATCTGATTTTATATATACTAAGTCAGTTGACTGATTTAACGTCACCAGCGCTAGCTTGATTTTTCGTTGCTCTGGTAACTCTTCTTGCCTTAAACATACGGGCGATGGATTCCACTTCTCTTCAGGTTCACTTAACCAATGTGGTCCATTCCACCAAGATTCCGAGACAGATAATTCACTTGGGTTTAGTCCTCTTGAAGCTAGATCAGCAGGATTGTCGACTGTTGAAACATGATGCCACTGCCTAACTTCACTGTTCTCTAATATCTGACTTACGCGATTGGCGACGTAGGTTTTCAAACGGACCTGTTGGCTATTCAACCAACCCAGTACTATGGTAGAGTCTGTCCAGAACCAGAAATTCATTATACTCAATGCCCATGAGTCAGCCACCTTCTTGGCTAATTCAACTAATAACAGTGCTCCACAGAGCTCCAAACGTGGAATAGTAGAACCCTTGAGTGGTGCTACTCTTGTTTTCGAGCATAAAAGTCTCGCTTGCCACCTTCCTCTCCGGTCCTTTGACCTTACATACAGACATGCACCGTAGGCCTCCTGCGAGGCATCACAGAATCCATGCAGGTGAAATTCATCTCTTACCTCTGGCTGAACTTTCCTGGGAATTGAGATCCTTGGAAGTTGCTCTAGTTCCTTGCAAAATGACATCCAACGCCCTTGTATGTCAGGAGAGAGTGGACCATCCCAATCCATTTGCATTGCCCATATTTGTTGTAAGAAGATTTTACCCTTCAACAACACAGGTGAAATGAATCCAAGAGGATCAAATATCCTGTTTAGATCTGATAGAAGTGTTCTCTTGGTGAACTTGCTACGGTTCTGTGTTTTATTAGTTTTGAACTGAAAATGATCCTTAACCGGTTGCCATTCTAATCCTAGTGACTTGATGGTCTCTCCATCCTTAACTTCTAAGGTAAATAATGGATCTTCTCCACTTCTCCCTAAATGTTGCATTATTGTCCTTGAGTTGGAGCACCATTTCCTGAGGGGCAATTTGGCTGAATCCATGATACTGCTTATTTCCTTCTGTAGTCGACAACATCCTTCTTCAGTGTCTGATCCGGTCATGAGATCGTCCATGTAGAAGTCATTTTGTATCGCCTTCGATGCTTCTGGGAATTGTATCCTTGACTCTTCTCCTAGTACTGCTAAACACTTTGTAGCAAGGAATGATGCTGGGGTGGTGCCATATGTCACTGTTGTTAAATGATAAGTGCGCAATGGCTCTGTGGGATCTGATCTCCATAATATTCGCTGAAGATCCCAGTCCTTTTTCGCAACGGATACCTGCCGGAACATTTTCTCTACGTCTGAAGTCAATGCATATTGGTACCTTCTGAATCGAACTAAAATCGAAAACACATCCTCTTGTATCGTTGGTCCGCTCATGAGTACGTCGTTGAGAGCTAATCCATTTGAACCCCTTGCGGATGCATCAAACACTACTCTCACTTTTGTAGTTAAACTTGTTGATTTCATGACTGCATGATGTGGCAGATACCATACTTGGTTTGGAATGCTGCCTCCCTTCGGTACTTCTTGCATGTGTCCTAGATTTATGTACTCTGACATAAACTTAGTATATTCTTCCCTCAAGGTGGTGTCATGAATGAGCTTTCTTTCTATACTGAAAAAACGTGAGATAGCCATTGATAGAGAATTTCCTAATTCATTGTAATTGTTCTTCACTGGTAGACGCACTACGAATCGCCCGTCTGCGTTACGAATTGTGTGTTCCTGGAAGTGCAAAACGGTTTGTTGCTCTTCCGCAGCCCTTTTATTTGCCTTCGATGAACGCCCAAATTCTAAATCTTCGTTGTTTCTTGCAGACCTCCAATCTTCCTCAATTTCTTGACCAATGCTTAGTAAACACACTGTGTTCATTTCTCCGGTTACCATCCATCCAAACTTGGTGTTCTGCAACCTTATGTTGCCTGTCCCCAGACTTATTCTTTCACATTCTAATAAGTTGTAAAATGCCCCACCACCTATGTGCATATCTATTGCTCCGGCCTCAGTAAAGGAGGGGTCAGCCAGATCTCTAACTAACTCATTTGGAATTTTAAACGCATGCTTTGGTGTAGAGCAAGAGGACAATTCACATACCGTGCTTGGTAGTACATAACAGGATAGATCAATAATATAATCCTTGACCCTTGATATTACCTGAATATCAACCGCTGCTGACACTTGGACACGACTAGATCCGATTCCGTTGACTGGAATCACGGCACTTCTACTGGGCAATTGCAATAATCTGAACAATCGCCTTGATATGAGATTTACCTGCGAACCGCTGTCTAGTATCGCTCTACATCTTTGTTTTGTCCCATATCTGTCAGCGATATAAACTACGACAGTTGACAGGAATACGTGACTATTTGCTTGCGAGGCACAGCAGGAAGTTGATGGTATTGCTGTGTCACAATTTGGCTTATGTGTGTCCTTCTCTGAAGTACAATCTTCGGTTGTACCATCTTGAACTGATCGTTTGCCCACGTGAAGTAGAGTGTTGTGTCTTCCGTTGCAATGTTGGCAGCTGTATCTTGATTTGCAAATATGAGCTGCATGATAAGGTGAAAAACAATTGAAGCAAAGCCGAGCATCACGTATTTTACTGTGACGATCCGTAACAGTCATCTTTTTGAAATCCTCACACTGATAGACTCTATGAGACTTATTACAACAGATGCAAGGAGCCTCTGATTTTTCTGTGATGACCAAACTCCTTTTCTGGTGAGTCGGTTTAGAGATCTTCGCTGTTGAATTACTATGAGTGTCAATCTTATTTGTCGATTCGTTTGACATCACAGCTTCTGAGTTTTCCCAAGCCACGCAACGACTAGCTAGGAAAGCTTCAAGGTCCTTATATTTCGGCAGGTCGGTATTTTTCAAGTGCAGCTGCCATCCGTGGCCAGTGCTCTTATCCAACCGCTGTGTCACAATAGTTATCAACCATGCATCCCAGTGCTCAACTGGTTGATCTAACGCCCTTAACGCAGCTACATGCGTACATACGTGAGAATAAAGTTTTTGTAATGCTCCAGAGGACGAA